ATTTGGTTAGCTAAGACCAATTTGGTTAGCTAAGACCTATTTGGTTAGCTAAGACCTATTTGGTTAGCTAAGACCTATTTGATAACCTTATTATAATGTTATATACAGACCTCGGGACACATGGAAAGCGATAAAATTTTATTCGGAACGGGAATTCGCCCTTATAATTACCAAACAGGAGTTTTCGTAGGATTTCCCATTGATTATATCTTTAACCTTTTAACTTTAGTGGACTCTACCATGCATTTATTGGGATGAGTCCATTATGGTCTACGGTGGTGATAGGGTTAGATTTCTTTAAAGACTGTTACTATCTTTACGTGGGAGGAAATATCAATTTCTTCAAACAATAGAAACGTCCATTGTGCCCGTCGAGTCGGATAGTGTCTTTCGTGTTTGAAATTGTACGCAAAGTGTCATATAATAAAACAAATCTGATCAACGACTGAGATCAATCAATTTCAATTTCAACAGATTTTATTGACTTTATATTTGTCAATTGGATTGGACATCAGGCTTGGCCTAGAATCTACGTAATATACAGTAGGCTTAAGTAACAAGTTGACTAAACAGGGAGATGACGATATGATAATATTCGGAAAAAGTAACTTAGTTAAATAATGGTTAAATGATTAAGATATTTGCTACCAATCAATTTCTTGTATTCCTCCAATGAGAGATTTTAAACACAAAATACAATGAATATTCAAAACATATATACAATGTTCTACTTTCCGTGGAACTATTCAGGCATCACCTTTGTCCATAATAATGTCTTTGTACATGCATTGGTGATTTAATCCACCTGCAGGATTGTTATTATCCACAGAATTAGAAAGGAAAACGATTCTTGGATTTGATAACCTGCATTGAAATATAAGATAATAGCTTTATAAGGAGATGATATATGAATTTGTCTTCAAAATTGTTCATGATATGAGGCGGTATTTCTTTTCCCAATAACACTCTTAGGAGTTCGTCGTGTCGCAGATTATCCAAATATGCAAATAGATCGGTCCCAAAGTGTTCTATGATTTGCGTCGTATATAGGTCACGGACATCAGCAGTAACATTACAAGTTGTAATAAGATGCAACACTGCATGAATATACATCCGTCTCAATCCAATTTGGCGGACATGTTAGAATTTTGCAAATATATTTGACGTCAGCAAGCTCTTTCCGTGTAGTCAGTACAGCCCATAGTATATATGGGGTGTAGCCGGTACAGCCCATAGTATATATGGGGTGTAGTCAGTACAGCCCATAGTATATATGGGGTGTAGTCGGTACAGCCCATATAATATATGGGGCTGAGTATCCTTTGTCGTGTATGTCCTTAAAGGGGATAAAATCGATATCAGCTTGTAACCTCTGATGAAGCACTTCGTTATTTGTTTCCCTTCTTTGTCTATGTAATTCGCCATCTTGCATTGTGGAGGGATTATTTACGGAGGGTTAATTAATAAACTAATGTATTCATAATGATTATCAATCAAAGACATTGGAATTATTTGCTTATTGATAATAATGCCAATCACATTGCATGGTATGTGATTAAATTAGTATTATATGTCAATTATAACACTAGGTAGTATGTGTAGTTTAAAGGGTGATAGATCCTTTGTTGCAAATGACAATCTCTATTGAAAATAATCCATTGACTAATAATCATTTTGTGTTAACGTTATATGATCTTTTTGTGTCAACATTATCTGAAAGGGTTTGAGGGTTTTTTACTCCTTTATTGGTATTTATATGCCCGGGTTGAGCGTTTACTTTGTCTCAGTACGGACAATGTCAACAGGTAACCGTTAAGTCGTGACATTAGACCTAAATCACACAGCCAAGAATTTGGTAATCCACCCAACAATACATTTTGAACGAGAAGACGTTATGAAAACCGCTTTAATGTATCATATAAAAGAAGAACAAAATGTCAAGCAACGATATGTACATTTATTCGGTAAAGTTTATTGTTTCCGTCATTATAGGTGAGTATTGGTCAGACAGACAGTTTCTGTTATGACAAAGCGGAATCTTTGTATGTGGATCCATAAGATCAAAACAGGTACAATACATAGTTAGTATAGTACATATTGTATCAATGCCCTCCGTTGGTTTTATGTTGCAATCCTCGATTTTCACAAGACATACAATATATTTTTGTAGTAAGTACACATGCTATCAGTGCACTGACAGTGTCTTTTCTTGCCTACTTCTAGGTATTCTGAATATAACTGTCTTCACGCATCTCAACGTTTTCGTTGTTTCCTTTCCTGATAATACATTCTCTTATGCATGCCATCCCCTCCCGTCTGCGCCAGTAGAACATGAGGTTTTCCCTCTTTAACAACTCGCTTCCTTACAGGCATTGTCCTCTGCAACATCGCTTCCATGGGGGGAACTCGAGCTATTGTTCGGTCGCCGGTATGTTGGCCGTTTTCAACGTTTGGTTTGATGGCAATACTATATGGTTTGCTGTTACTTGTTCGCGGATTTCTTTCCTCCATGTCATTTTGAAATATGGTCCCCAATGTTCCGGATTAGAAACATAAACTGAACCAACCCTTATGGACACGTCCGTCTTTGTGCTAAGTCCTTTGTATAATAGCCAGATCATATAAGTATCATGTCTTTTATTATGAAACGACAGCAGCCAGCAGTGAAGACAGTGAGAGAGAGGAGGAGCTGGGAGACATGACATTGGCAGATCCCGGTACTCTAATTACCCCGGCGCTCAGGTGCTCCGAGATTCTGAATCCTGGGTCTGGTGTTCTGGTGTTTCAACATTTTGGTGCTCCAACGTTTTAGCACTCCGGTCGGTACACTAGGTATAGCTCCGGAGCTCCTAGATTCTAACCTACCGGGTCTCTGATGTTCTGGCGCTCCGGTTGGTACTCTAGGTATTTAGCTCCGGGGCTCGTCGGTTTCTGATGTTCCGGCGCTCCGATGTTTTGGTGCCTCGGTGCTCCGGCGCTCCGACGTTTTGGTTCTCCGGTTCTCCAATGTTTTGATGCTTTGGTATAACAGGATCTTTCCGCGGGGATGCTATTTTCTCGATTTCGCCGGTCAATATTGTGATCGTGAAAATGTGATCCGATGAATAATATGACCAGCGTTAAAAATGAGCTGCGAGAATAAACTTCAGAACCGTAATGTCGTCAGGGAATAGCCCGCATGTAGTTGTGACGTTTCCTATATATTAAGAGAATTGATGTTTGAAAATGGGTTATATTACACATCTGATAGTTTTGTTGATGATTTTATTTACAAAATGCACGGACACTGCAATAATTTAGTTCATTTAATTGTTTTCATTTTAGTTCAAAATCGAACAAATTTGAGCACGCGTAAATATTCAACTTTACGGTTTATAAAACAATCTGGAAGCTTGCAGTTCACATATAAGTACTTGTAACAGTTTTTGATAGAACGGAGAACAACATCATGTATGGATGAGCTGCGCAATCAATTCGGCCGTCCACACAAAACTGCACACACGATGTACATTGTATAAAATTGTTCACATGTGTCCAGTGAATCTTTCACCGCTGATGTTGGAACCTTGAACACAGCCGTAGCAGTAGTCAATACTGGTAAGTGTAACACAGCAGTCGTAAACACACGTAACAGTTGATAATAGTGATGTTTATTCATAGACGTGAATCAACAATCTCATTACAAGTACATGTACAGGTGGTTACAACATCTCTTCTACGTATAGTAATACTTCACGTTGTGTCTCTGACTTCGAGCTAAGTAACTAGGCATGTGCCAAACCATGGCCACACTCCCCATACTCTGTCTCTCTGAACCTTGGTCCAAATTGACCTGTCCTTCTCATGGCTAATTCCCGACTCCCTGAATATGGGATGCATCCCGTTAAATACGTTTTCCAGTACATATGTTATCTCATTGCCTACAGCCACCATCTGTCCTCATACCTATAAACCTGTCACCATAGACCTTTGGTACATACATATGTGACTATAATTACTCTACGTATTACATATACCCTTTAGACTACTGTCACCTGACACATTACTGACCTCGACTAGCGCACGACTTACAATCCAAATATAGGATGAATCTAACATACATTAATCACATTAATTAATTAAGTTAACTATTGGGTAAACCCATAGTGTCACATACGTCACATTGTCTGATCAAATGACCTAATGTGCCGCTTATCTTCCATGTGTGAAAAACAAAATCATTGATCAGCATTTCAAGTCACTAATTTCTGTCTTACAATTGGTAATTCTAATATATATTCCACATATTCGTACTTCTAAAAGTTATAAGCAAACTATTTCTAGTATCTCCACAATAGACAGCCATGACTATTGTTTCCACAGCAACAGCCCCGTCAAGTCACTACAGCGGGTCATCATACTCCACGTGCTCGGCGTTCTTGAAAGTGTTTTTCCTCAGGACTGCAACCAGTTTGTCAGCCGAGGTGTCACAGGTCAACACTTTACCCTCACTATAGAACTCTGCAAAGAAGATAAAACATTTTACTCTTACTGTTGTAAATCACTTTATTTTTTCGCGTGAGCTTTATTTAGAGAGCAACATCTATCGCTATAGGTTTTATCCATGAATACTTAAACTCGCAATTGAGATAACGCTATTTCAACATTGCTACTCACTATCTATGGCATAAATATTCATCCGATATTATGTAAGTAAATAAGTCTCCTCCCAATATACTAAATGTGAATTCATGCCTTTCAGCTCTTAAGACAATGAATGTTGTACAATATAACTTGACTGGATCATTTTCAATTGTTCAGCTCTATGAAACTGTCACAAAAGGTTATTCTTCCAAGTGCCTCCGTTAGGAGTCGAACCCGCACAAAATACCAGTCCAGTTCCCTATCGATTAATCTGGAATCCCCTCTAGGACTTTGGCACTGTACCATACACGTTTGATTCAGGTTTCCATCTACCATGGGGTGAAACATGATTTTATCAGCATAGTTCAAAACAAGCGACCCCTGAAAAGTAAAAGGAAATTATCCCAGGTGTTCAGGAAGGATAAGTGACTTCTGCTTCATCGTCGACAATTACCATGAAAGTCTAGGTAAAATACCAGTTATGTTACGATTTCAAAGTGAAAACCCGAGTAGTGACAACAGAACTACCAGACACACTAATGAACATCGATAATCATTTCTCAGGGTTTCCTAATAATCATGTACAAGCATAACTACCAAAACATGTGTTGTGGGTTTGTCTGTCGGGGTTCGACATACATCGCGGAAATTGGTCAGTTTTTTGTTTGTTTGGTTCAGTATTGTTTAACGTCCTATCAACAGCTATGGTCAATTAAGGACGGCCTCCCCTGTGTGCAAGATGCAGGCGTGTAGTGTATGCGTGTGTTTTGGGAGGCTGCGAGCGAGCAAAGGTAATCGACTGGTGTAGAAAATTCTGTAGTGCCTTTGCGTTCGGGCTGAGGAATGTCAATACCATCGACATGCTTGGAAACTCAATTTTGAAAGGTTTATCTGTATCAACTGTATGATTACGTTGACTTGGATATTAAATAATTATTGTTCTTTTTGCACGCATTATATGTCATATGATATATGTACATTTGTATGTAATGAAAGCTGTACCATACATATGTATAGGGATAACCCAGGTATTGTGTGCTGGTACAGGTTCACTGTATGGGGGGGATACGACCTTACTAAAACGTGTAGTAAGACATGTATCTACGCCTTATTTACGACAAAATGTGTTCACTACTATGCCTTGAAATTGCGTCTCTTAAAACAATTGTGAAAGACTGAAATTAAGTACAGTGAAACTTCGCTATTGTAATGCCCCTTGTTTACCGCCATCTTATTCCAATGTCCCTTTTTCTTGTTTTCTTAATAATCCCTTTATACATTTCAATCCGTCCATCCTCAAACCGGTATTTGATTTTGATGGTTTGAATTGATTGACAAATGAAATAAAAGTAAACCACGTTTGCAGAGAGAAAAAATCTGTATATGTATTTCTGTGGTATTACACAGAATTAATATACAGTTGAAACTTTACTTTTAATGTCGTCTGCGAACTCTTTGTTAGACGATTTGTCCCGAACGTTGGCCAGCATGTCAGTGTCACATGGTCCGGGCGAGTAGCTCAATACCCGGATGGAAGGATCCTCCAAAGCCAGAACACGGAAATACATGTCGCGTGCGGACTTTGCTGGTATAAAAAACAATTGAAAATACAACTGACATTTATGTTTGTGTAATCAATGTCCATAATCCATTTAGTTAAGCTGAAGGTACATTATATTTATTAAAAAAAATCAGCCAAATTCACTGATTTTTGTATAAGTCTCAAAAAATATTATGACTAATCATTCAGTAGGCGTATGATCTTTTGTAAATGAATAAAAAGAAATAATCATTTGACAATAATCTTTTCAACCTTTTCACGGGTTCTTCGGAATACCATGTACGTTAACGATGTTTAGCCGACTCCTTATGTGTTTAAATGTTTAGTCTAGTAAATTCAACAACAAAACTGGAATTATTTTTCAGATCTGACATATTTATTGTCACTTAGACACAATACTTACAGGCACAATATGTACTCATCGTTGGGTAAGGTATTTTGGAGTTGTCAGAAGTCATATTCACAATAAGCCGACTCTTTGTACCGCTAAACGTTTTGAAAAATGCAGAGTTAAGTAGGATCATACCAGTAACATTGACATCAAAGAACTTCTGTAATGACGCCACTTCCATCATTTCCCATGCATATTTAGAAACATCCCCAACAGTTGCACAGTTGTGTACAATCACTGCTTGCTCGAAATCACCAACGTTCAAATCATGCTTCTTAATAACGTCTGTGAATAACGTATCAAATATGTTCTGGTCCAGATGTCCTTGGTCGAATTTACAGCTTCCGATCTGTGCACCCGGATATGACGTCGACAATTCAGATGCCACGATTTCTTGTGCAGCATTGTTCCGCGATAGAAAGAGAAAAAACGATGAGCGCGGAAGATTGGCCACCAGTTTAGAGGCGATACATTTACCGAGCCCACGACTGGCTCCGGTTATAACCACAAAGCTCTTCTTCACAAATAGGTCTCGTGTCGCGTCTGCCATGTCTATGCTGCACGTATACGTATACCACACTATGACAAAGTACAGTCTTAATATTGATCTGGGTCAGCGTTAGAACCGGTGTAGGTTAATCATGACCCCCTTTAAATAATGATCCAAGGTTCATGATTTGTTTATTTTATGGAAAACCGTTACGGATTTGTGCCTCTGTTACTAAGTTAATCGCTGTCTGAGTGTTATAATACAGTATATGGCTGTGTCCTCCTCTTCATATTTACCTTTTCTTATAACCTCATTAGTCGTCTGTTTATTTAGTTCTCGTAAGAAAGTAATTAATTTAATGTACGCCGGAACGCATACAATCAACTGAAGAACAAAATGCTGCTACAGCCATGTTCCTTAACGGTAAAACTGTAATATTTGCTATGATTAGAATGAGCTTGATATTCCACTAGACATCTCGGTCGCCGATTTAGGTTTGTTTAAAAGCTGTCTAGTAGTCAAACAAACCTGAATAGACAGCCGTAGTATTTAGGTTGTTGTTATGAAGGTAAATAATGTGTTCAAGTGGTCGCATTAGGTATGGGGCCGGCGGTGTAACACACGTCTTAACAGTAATAAACGATCGTCTGCAGATAAAACACGTCTTGTAGTGATTATATTATTTTCTGTTACAATAGAAACACAAATGTCCCTATTTTACGAGTGGTAATGTGTATAGCCTTCAGGTTTATGATGATCGAAGAAATCAATTGAAGTAAACGAGTCTATACACAGTATTTGTATTTCAAATTCGGGAGGGTATACACGACATACGTGGTCAATACATTGGGGGGTTTTTGTTTGTTGTTTTAAGACAGCACATCATCGATATATCTGAAGGTGAAATTGAATGATCAATAAATTCAGCTTCATATGAAAACAAATAAATCGGTAAGAAGACGGGCAAAGTTTGTTCCCATAGGAAAGCCTATGCCTGTCTGCTAGAAAATCCTTGCCACCGAACATATGTTTTCAACAAGGAACTCAATCATTTCATGTGGGCCTTTGTTGTACTTTTCTCCAAAAACAATAAGAGAATACGTAAGCGTCAATAAAACTAGGCAAAATAGTAACGAAAGAAGGATTAACAGAGACCCTTGACAAAATAAAAAGGGAGAATAAGACCAGGAGTTCCGGAAGGGTAAGCCTTTTCTGCTTAATCGATGACATCTACAATGAAATCTGACTTAACCTTATATCTATATCGCCGTTTACCTTTTTGGAAAGCTCTCATAATAAGAGAAGGAATGTGTTCCTCCAATTTGGTGTGTAAAGGATCGAAAAAATACAGGTTTTAATTGAAGAAACATTTTGTGAAAAGGTGATGTTCAATCGAAAAGATGTGTAGTAATGAAATGTACTACATAACTTTCCTACATCCGAACTTACCAACCTGCAGAATTGTTTTGGGAATACTAAGGATTAATCAAAAGATATTTTGAATTCTTCAAAATCCACATTCCATTAATTCCACTTATGAAGTTAACAGTACAACAATAGTACCATAACACTTATTTAGTTGTGACAAGAGTGGAAGCAAAACGTTTTAATAATGGCTTGGTCGAGCAACTAGCAGAGCCAACAATATAATGTTGTTCATAAGGATTCGTATGAAGTTTGGTATATTCCGCTGATGATATATATGTATTGACACTTAACTGATTATGCGAGGGCCATTCAATGAATTGTGTCAATAGTGTCAGGAATCGCATGTATGCTCTTTATTGTTTGATCCTTCGAAGCATCCCCCCTTTAACAGAAACGCACTTTCGAAGTCGCGCTATCCATGATATAAACGCTGCGCGGTAGTCTCCCCTTGGTATACTAACGAGACACTGGAAGAATGCATGTACTACCCAGAGCTTATGTCACTAAAAAGGACAGAATTTATTGAATGGTCCTAGCTATGAGGTTTTCAGGCTACATATAATAACTAATATCGACATTTACACTAACTACGGCAGACCATTGATGAATATCAGTAGGAGCCCTATGATAAAATAATTACAGATAATTAAAGCGCATTGTATTTTTTTTTATCGTACCCCAGAGTCTGTTCTGAGTGTATGGGAGCAAGTTTTTTAAGGAATATTTGAATTATGAAGTCAAGGTTTCCTGCTGAAGACGCTTGAAACTACATCAGGGGATCCTTTTCGACATTAAATAGGCTGAAATCCATTTAGTAATTGTTATTCTACAATTTGTTCAGCTCGATTATTGTAATCTATTCTCTACAGTACGGTCTACTGGGTGACGCTCTCCGTGGTGAAGGTACTCTTCGTTTGATGTCGATTCGTGTTTTAATCTATAAGTTAGTGATTTTGGTGGACTATGGCATACAACAACCCTTTTGGTAATTTACAAATCACATTCATACGTGTTTTATTGACAATAAATATACGATACAAACATGTAAGATGTATATATTAAATCCGATGTTAGTACAGTATTTACAAAAGAAACAAACAACAGACGTAACCTACATCAGTCTTCTTCTATTCCGGTAGTGATTAAATATATAGAATGTTGTTAGTCTTCCTCTCAAGTTACGATCTTTGTCACCTAAACCAAACTAAGTCAAAGATCAACACATCGCACACGCAACACAGATACGTTCGCAAAACAGTTACAAACCTTTAATCACTATAGTAAGACAAAATGTACATGTCTTGACTAATCACAATAATCACCCAAAAAAGACTAAACCCTTGACATAAATTTACAAAGCATACAGCATACCAATGATGCACATTACTATCCGATCATGAGTGCATACGTTCGTTATTTTGATCAGTGTATTGAGTATCTGTATCTGTATGGATACGCTGAAGTAACCAAAACTGGTGTGTTACAGCGGGTGAGAGAGAGCGCTAATAGTTCTTAGTCGCGCGATTCGAGGGCTGTTTTAAAGTCCTCGACACTACTGCATTTGATTATGGTGTCTGGTAGATGGTTCCAGTCTATTACAATACGTATAAAGAAGGATTCTCTGTATTGGTCTGTTTTATAAGCTGGTGGTTGGAATCCTCTCCTGTTGTTACACACAGACCTATCGACGATGTCGATTATACTGAAGTCTTTATAGTTTGTAACTCTGATGTTACGGCCTTGTCTCCTCGGTTTCTAGTACTGAGATGGGGCACTGACCCTTCAATGACTTTGTATAGATAGGCAAGTCTAATGTCTGCCGCCTCTTATCAAGGGGTGGTAAGTTGAGATCTTTGAGTATTTGTGTCACACTTCCCGGTTATCTTGCGGTATAGTTCCCCGACACAAATCTTGCAGTACGGTGTTGGATGCGTTCCAGTTTGCTGACATCTCCCTTCTGGTGTGGATCCCACACCACTGCCCGGGGTTCCGTATTTCCATAAAGGGTAGTACCATGGAGATGTAGGCGGTGCGTTTACTAGCTGTTGGGCAGCTTAGAGTGTTCCGTCTGAGAAAGCCAAGTGTGGAATTTGCGTTCTTCGCTTGTTGAACTTCATTCCCCACGTTTCAGTCCAGTGTGCTAGATTCTCCAAGTCTGGTTAGAGAATAAGATGGTCTTGGAAAGTCGCTATGGTGCGGTACAGTATGCAGTCATCTGCGAACAGGCGGGTTTAGGATCCAACGCACTCAGGTAGGTCGTTAATATGGCATAGGAACAAAATGGGTCCGAGGACGGTTCCTTGGGGTACCCCAGATTCAACTGGCACTTGTTTCGTTGTCTCGCCCTCCAACACAACCTGCATGGATCTTGCTGTGAGGAAGTGCTTTAACCACTGGTTGATGTGACCTGTAATTCCGTATAACTCAAGTGTATGCAGCAGCTTCCTATGGGGGCACAGTATCGAATGCCTTAGAGAAGTATAGGATGACACAGTCTACCTTTTTGCTACTGTCGTAGGATTGTAGGAAGTCGTGGATGGTGGTGATAAGTTGAGATTCACATGAAAAGCCCTTTCTAAATCCATGATTTAAGTCTGTTAGAATGTTATTGTCCTCTAGATAGCATATGAGGTGACGACATACAATGTGCTCCAAGATCTTACATGAAACACATGTTAGGGTCGAGGAGAGGAAACGCTGGTAGATTACACTCAGGCCTGGTGCAACGGTCTTAGCACAGTTCTTGAGGATGATGTTTGGCAGGGTGTCAGGACCTGGAGCTTTGGCTGTGTTGAGGTTTTCCAGGAGTTTGGTAATGCCTTTCGAATCTATGACGATATTCTGAAGTGGATGATAAATATGCTTATCAGCGATATCTGGAAGTGGCCGGGTCATCAGAAGATTCTTTTGTGAAGACGGACTGAAACTGGTGGAGCAGGACATTTGCCTTCTGTAGCTATATAGGCTATCACTAACTAGCTGGGTTCCTTTATGTTTCAAAGGGGATACTCCGATGCTGTTCCGTTGTTTAGATTTGATAAGGCGCCAAAAGGGTTTGGTGTTGTTCGACTTCATGCCCTCCTCTATGGTCTTGTTTACATAGTCTCATTGGGCTTTCCTAACGGTACGCATGCATTCGCGTTGGTAGTGTCTATAGTTTACCAAGTTGTTGGATTTCTTGGCAGTATATATTGTAACGTGTCAGCCCCGTATAAATGGGTGATTTCAACCACCGCTGTCTCGGCCCTGCAGCCGATTTGTTTACATATCGCCGTGCGCCTGTTTGACGGGTTTTCACTACATAAATAACACCAATGTCCATTTATTAGTCCAAAATGTGTTTGTACATAAGTTTTAAAGGTTGATTATTCAAATTACAACTACAGAACATTATAGAAATGATTTCTGACTTCCCTGCTAATTTCGTGTTAAATCGACCACTCGTTAGAATCTCAAACACCTCTCAAGACCGCCATTTTGGAAGCTGACTATGCGAGATGCTCGAAACTACTTACATTGATTCTTTAACTTCCTAGGGTTGTAAGTCACTGTAGATTGATGGACATTAAGTAATTATGATATTTAAAAGAGTATGCTAATCCTTTTGGATACTGTTTATGTCTTTTAACGACGTCTTAGATGTTTAGTCAGTCGGAGAGGCCCCTCGGACCTCTCTCGGCGACCTCTCAAGCGTTTCGATAACTCTTACCGGCGTCTGACGTAACTACCGCAGGGAATTCCCTAAACTTAGTATATTTTTAATCCGTAACCTTAGCGGCACTAAATAGTAGTTTTACATGTATTTTTATACTCTGTAGCATTATTTTAATGTAAAGCACTTATTGTTTGAGCGGATATTATGAGAGGCCGTGTGTGATAAGGTTTTATTACTTTTACATGCAATCCTATGAGAAAGTGTCTCCGGACCTCTCCCGTCTGATCACCAGACCTCTCCTGAGTAGTAATATTTGGAAGGTTATAAATACAGGTCGGATCAGACCTTTTTCTTTAGTTCATCACTGTCTTCGCTGGCAGACGGTCGCCTCTGAACAGGTCAGACTTAGGAATCTCTCATACTTTGGGTTTAGGCTTTACTGCTTACGTNTGTCAATCACCTTTGTTATTGTCTGGTGCAAGAACCTGTGTTGATGCCTTGTTTGTATTGTAATATTATACTGATCTGTACTCTGTAAAGATACATTGTTATTTAACTTGTTCCTTTAATAAATTATATTTGTACCTGTCAATTGGGCTCTTGGTTGATATTTAGAGTTTTCGCATAGTAAATTAGACTGCTAGACTATTTCTGACCATTGTTCTCGGACCTGACATAGAGGAGATATAACATATTCGACCGTGATAATCCAGGATCCAGGAAGCACACTATATTGGTGAAACAAGAACCCCATACTTCTTCGACGGCGGCCGGTGAGACGTGGGCACCGGATGCGCGCTCGTTACAATATAGTCGGTGTTTTCTCTTTAACATTTTCTTGATAGGCCTGTTGTTCCAGGGAAGGGAATGTTTCGTGTTGGATAGCCTTGACGGGATGTTCTTGCCAATATTGCGGGTAATGTTGTCCCTAAAGTTAGTCCAGAGATCGTTGACGTTAGATGTCTCCGCCATCTTGATGGTATCGTCGGAGGTTTCCGCACAGTCCTTATACAGTTGTTCCTAGTCAGCTTGAGAAAACTGAAAGATTTTCCGTCCTCTCTGTGTTTCCTTCTTTTCAATATTTTTTTTCAACATTTGAATTAGAAAAAATACAATTCTGTGAAATGCATACAAAAATGGCAATAATATTTAATAAACTGACTTAGTTTACCTTAGCCAGAATAAAATTTGTTGAGGCAATTTAATCAAGAACATGTGCAGACTGCTCTTTTTAATACACATAGATCTAGACATGATATTAATAGCTTGATATATTGTTGTATCGAAAACAACATCCATCAAAATGCATGTACGATCGCATATAAAATCCGACTCTTCAAAGGGGCTATTTACCCCGGAATAATATTAAACGGGTAATAGTTTTTTTTTGTGCACCGGTTGACGATGGATACTTTCCAGCTTATTATTCGTGGAGAAAAAATATAACCCCATCAAGTTTTGTCAGTAAACTACATTTTTTAAAATCCCATACTTATTAGAACAACATCTACATCAGTGGATATATCAACAATACATGTTTTAGGCGGCATAAAGCCGTCTCAGATTTGGAACAAGGGCTACATTCGCGTATCCGGTTGAAACGGTTGAACCGGTTGAACCTGAAAAGAAAACGACAGGTACAGATTTGGACCGAGGCTGACCTCAGGAAAATTTGGTACGTGTAGATTGAGGGGTTCAGACGTACATGACCGAAACTAAAATGCTGACTATTGCCAATTTGCGTTATTTCTTTCTTAAACAATGTCAAGTCACATGTAATTTTTAAGATACGTTATGTTATTTAGTGGACGCATGAGAGAAGGGCATAATATTCTTGATACAATTGTTTTTTATTCTCCGAAACTATGGATTCTTAGCTCTGCTTATAGAACGGTCCAAGTGTGTTCGTTTATCGTGGAAAATTTCTGCGCCACACGTACCGTTTCAACCGGGATACGCGAATGTAGCCCTAGTCGTAGGTCTTTTCGGAAGTCCTCTAGACTTTTCTATCAAGCGTATTCGGTTTCCAAACATGGCGGCTGCTGATAGTGGAATCTTCTCCAGGAAAGCATGCGTGGTAGTCACCGGTGCAAGTAGAGGTCTAGGAAAGTCCGTTGCCAAGATATTCGCCACAAAATTCCCAGAGTCATCACTGTTCATTCTCCTGGCAAGAAATTTAACAGATTTAGAAGCAGTGAAAGCAGAAATCCGGGAAAATATGCCTACTCTCAAAGTTGCTGTCAAAAAATTTGACCAGGGCAACCTTGACCAAGCGATCTTTGACTCGCTATTCGATACTGTATTTGAGGAGTACGGTGTGTCACCAAACGACTTTGAGCAGTCAGTGATTGTCCATAATGCAGGAACACTGGGTGACAACACAAAGTACGCCAGTCAGTTATCTGATGTCGCTACCGTTCAGAGGAACTTTGATGTCAACGTATCCGGTATGATCCTGCTCAACTCGGGGTTCCTCAGGAAATTCTCAAATTCATCTAAAGGAAGACTGATCGTCAACCTGTCTTCGTTAGTGGCAGTTCAACCGGTATCTTCCTTTTCATTATATTGCACAGGTAAGCTTGATAACGCAAAAAATGTATATATGCAAATGTAACGGTAACAAATATGATTTTGACTGCCTTGTACATGGCTAATTAATTAATTTCTCAAAAAGGACGCGGGGAAATATATAAATCAAACAAACACATCCTATTTACTATATCAAATGTATTGTCAACTTTTGGTAAAGCTAATGGACTACCTTTAATTTAAAACACTAAATGATGTTATGTGTTTGTTCTTGCATTCAGGGAAGGCAGCCAGGGACATGTTTTTCCGAGTAATGGCTGCTGAGGATCCTTCCATCCGTGTCTTGAACTATGCCCCAGGACCTTGTGAAACAGACATGCAGAAGGCGTGTCGTGAGGATACAGTGGACTGTACAACAAGAGATATGTTTCAAGGTTAACTCCTAACGCATATTTTCTTTGTTTTTGTTTGATTTTGATTATTTCCAATGCAGTGAAAATATGCATATGGAGTTCAATAAATATAGCATAGCGCACATTGATTGCTGATTTTTTTACAGTTGTTGTAATGAACATAAACATTTTCAAGTTTTTATGTGTAGCAGATCTGGACTTGGTTAATCATTTCCATGCTAGACAGCGATTAACTTTAAGATAGCTTAGTTGTTCAACTATTCAGATTTATGGGAAAGAAATCCTAGTCTGGCCTTTTGAATATCTTCTATCATTTGCCTGCCCTTTAACATTTATTACATGTTCTAGATTTAATAAAACGTTTTTGAAACCATTACAGCCATGCACAGAGAAGGAAATACCCTGGACTGTGACACCTCTATTGCTAAGCTGGTGGAGCTGCTGAGGCTGGATCAGTATGACAGTGGAGCTCACATCGACTTTTTTGACGACATTGGAGGTCATGTTGCCAAGACATCTCTTAACCAATGATCTCGGTTCAGGTTGTACTGAAGTAGCTAACAATTCTGCCAAATGATCACAAAGTCATTATAATTTAATGACAAATATGTCATTAGCAGTCTTAGCTAGATATGAAAGTAATTAGTCATCTTATTGAGAATAATATTCACAATAGGCATTAATAAAGTCAAAACAACTTACCTATCAATAATTCTTCATTGGTGATCATTTTGATATAAAATACAGAATTGAAGTTTGTTGATCTATGATCATGATTCTATAGTTAAATTTTTTCTACAGGGTATTACTAGTAGTTTAAGTTGTATGACCATTTTATAAGGTGATGTAATTTCATTTCAAATCAATGTTATTGTATCAAGAATACAAATGGATTAGGCACAGGCATCACCCATTAAAGTCCTTTCCAGGTATTGTAGTGACTGCAATACAGCATACATGATAGGCTAAGCCCAAATTATATACAAACCATGTTTATACCATTCATGTAAAAGTTAATACCAGGTAGACATTTTATGAGGACAAGTTGTTGTGTTGTGTGCATGAGTAAAAATAGCATATGCAGTGGATTTTATTATATGACTAATAATGAGGACCAACTTAAGTTAATGTGACGTTATGTTGAAGTGATAACGGAGAAAAAATCACTATTTGTATCAGGTACACAAAACAGTGTCAAGACATCAAATATAGGATTCCAACTTATTTTTGTTATGTTTTAACTTAAAAATTTGTGATGCTAGTTTTTACATTTTTTTTTTTAAATTGGTTGTACTTTTGTTATTTGGTTGTTTGTTGCTGTTTATTCCGTCTTTGAATATTGCAGAGTTATCTTCTCTTGGGAGCAGGTAGTGATTGTTACATCATTAGTTTGTGTTAGAAAATTACGTCGTTTTCTCAAAAATTGATGACGTTACTCTCACAATCAAGTGATGTAAAAATCAATACCTGCTCCCAAGAGAAGATAACTCTGCAATACACAAAGACGGAATTACAATAAGAGGGTTTAACCTGCATTTATTGTTTTTGTTTTCAATTACATACTTTTTTATGGTTTAAAGTTTCTGCACCTGTAGTACAGATTGAAATGTTTATTGGGAGGTTTATGGGTCTTAGGTATTTATATTTGATATGTGGTGCCAAAGGAATGGTCAGTGAAAGAAATATTTGTTCGAAACAATTCAAGCACTTGTAAGTAGGCTGCAGTTATGAAAACTGACTTTTCCATGCAGATGTTACCTAGTGTACTTATTTAGTATCATAGGTCTGGACATAAACATATTCTAGATTTATAAATACCAACAGATTGTTCCGGAATACATTTAACCCTACTAACAAAAGTTATTATTGCTCTAAGAAAATAATATCTATCTAATAATATCCCTCAACTAGTCAGTCACTATCACTCTCAAGAAAGAATATCTCCCTTACCTCCTCACCAAGTCACTGTCACCGTCTGACTATTGTCCTCAAAAGACATTATTAATATTATACCTCATCTTCATAACAGTGTGTCTGATTGTATGGTACTGGTCACATGACGGGGCAATAAAACATCATTGTCGCTCTCACACGCTTGAGTTTCCCCCGATCCTATTTCCCTTACATGGAGCCTCTCAGAAATTTTTTGCAAAGAGCCACCACAACTTAAGTTCCAAATGATGGAAGCAGACAACAACAATGGAGCATCAACCTGATTATCTGTACCATTGTGTTGGGGTTTTTTGGTTTTTTTTGTTTGTTATAAAAACTTGATGCAATTGTAATTGGGAATCATGATTCTTTGGTTCTCCTTGATATCAATCATCTTTCATTCGGGACTTGGTCATCGTGAAACATTTTTAACCTCGGAGAAACAAAGAACCATGGTTCCCTAAAGCAAGGGCAATAAATGTATAATATATACCCATGTCTAGTCACTGTCCAGAGAAAATATCTGCTTTATTATATACCCTTATCTAGTCACTATATATAATTCTGCTACTGCTTACAGGACCTGCATTGTACAAAGCAGGTCCTCTACACTGCTTATGTTTACCTTTAACTTTTTCAGTGTAAACAATGAAGTCTATGCTAATAAAAAATACATGAATGTAAAACATGCTTCATGACGGTAACCTTAGATAACGTCTAGGTACAGGTAATGAGACGAGATTTCAAGTAGGCTTTGGCAAAGGTGTGAGAAATGAGATGAGATTTTGTGTGTTGATTTTAAAAGGTATGAGAATTAAATGAGATGAGATTTTGTGCAAGTTTTGATTAAATTGTGTATATATGTAACTGTTGTCATGAGTTTTGGCTTAGGTGTAAGGAGTGAGGCTAGACTTGATCATTGTGCAAGTATTGAGAAGTTGTGTTTTTGTAATAGTTGATTTGAGATTTCATCCAGCTATACAAAGCTTTTTCTGGGACTTCATTCCCAATTAAAACTATTTCATATTTAAGCTGAATTCCAACAATTTGCAGTTTACTCCTGAGTTTTCTCTCCTAATTGGTGTATTTTCTCTCCAAAATGTGACAAAAAGGCCCCATCCCAAAGTACCGAAAAAATCCTTGGTGTAAGTCATAAAATAAGGTTTTTTAACTTGTGGACGGTCACCCATCCAGCCACTGAGCATGCCCGACATTGCTGGACTACATCGTTGTATCTAGTCAAAGCGTCCCCAGGTAATACCGCATCGCTGGAAAAGCTAGCTTGCCAATTAGGCGATATTTTCTTCTAATATTCCTGTCATAATTTTGTCCAGGTGTAAATGATGAGAAGAGTGTTTAAAATAAACTGAGGCTGTTGAATACAGTGTGGAAACTTATAATTAAGTAGAATAAATTTATCGAAATTCCCCAATCAAGATCTAAACAACCTCCGGTGACTGATGTACCAATGACCAGTAGTTTTTGGTGAATATGTGAGGTTGTCAGTATTGTGTTGATAAATACATGCATTACCGGTGTACATTCTTATAAAAACATTTTATTTTTATTTTATTTTTTGTTGAAGTAATTGAAAAAATAGTTTCGTAAATATGCAGATATTGTGTGGTTGCATTTAAAGTTATTAACGTTATGGGTGTTGGACTTTTGTGTATTATTTAATACAACTTGATAGCCATTGTTTTGTATATTTTTTACATTTACTTTTACATTTAATGACATTCCTTTTGATTGCAAGTTTTAATTCAATTAAGGTAGCAGCTAGCATATTTACACTGAAAACTGGATTTTCATAATCAGTCTGTACATGTTTCGTTCTTACAATAATTAAACTCCTCAATAACAACTTGGATATCTTGACGTTTATATACTTCCGAGACAGCAGTCATCCCAAGGAACAGTTAATATTAGAACATGGAATGTTTTTGAACATTTAAGAGGGGGAAAAAAGGATTAAAAAACACCAACTTCGAGTTGAACTGTAGTGATTGTTTACATTAAAGATATCTCCGTTTTGAGATATGAAGTGATATGCAACATTTTGTTAATTTACATTTACTTATACCATACGTTTTATTAATTCATGGACCTTTTTGATATAAGGATTAAACCGACACTGCTATCTGAGGAGAATAAAATCCTTTAAAATCAATTTTACATATAATTTCTGTATTTTATGTTGTTCAATTTACTGTAGACTTGGTTGTGGGAAACATTGGTTAGTTGTGGGAAACATTGGCTAGTTGGGGGAAACATTGGTTAGTTGGGGGAAACATTGGTTAGTTGGGATGCCAAAGGATGCTTGTTTTGTTGCTTTGATGTACATCAATACCTATTGACAATATTTGTATGTATGTGATAGTAAAAAAAGTGATTTACAAAGCTGATTTGTTTCCTTGTTTTTATTTGTTTTTGTTTTTTTGTGATTCACCTTTCATTTTCATGTGAGCTTAGGCTCCCGGGGTGTAGGGCAGAGATTAACTGGCATGGGCATGCTCGGGTCTAAACCTAATTCAGGAGCAAAGAACCAGCATCCAATAAGTGTACAGAAATGTTCACATTCTAGGTTTCAGGAGGATACCTGGTGGTATACAGGCGCCCTCTTAATGTCAAGCTAATAAATAACAGTAGAAGTAAATCTCTGCTTTACACACCCTCAGTCAACACTCTTATGGTTTGATAGGAGACTTGATAAATAAAAGAAAAAGAACTCCTGAATCCAAGTTTTAATAACATCCTGCCCAGCAAGTCATATTTATTTCTAAATGCATTTAGCCCTTCTCCACTCCCGACATACCTGGTACATACAGCAGCGCAAGAATTATATTGCTGTATCAGAATTAGATGTACAATGGGGCGTATCTGAAGCATGACATCTCTGTTCTCTACCTGTGGAGTAGCCATATGGCAGCTTTTCATTGTTAATGAAATATTTTAATTAATCAAGTCTCTGTCATAATTGTCCCAACAGCCTCGTTAAAAATTAAGTTATCCATTCGCACTGTTCTACATTTCAAAACAACATAAAACAGAGAAGTTCAATTTTTATAATAAATACAATGGATCAAATTTATTTTGAACAGTAATACACAGGGAAATTGCTCAGTACTAACGAATGAATAGTTTATATGGTTGACTTCTATGGCATACTGTAAGCTTAAAATAAGTACATTGAAATTGTATACAGAGAAACCTGTTGTCACTGACATTGAAAGGGCCTCAATCCTTTGGTTGGATTATAAAAGTGCTGGTTATAATTCAGTCAGGGTTACAGTCTGCTGAGGCCAACAAATCAGGCCAGATGTTAATGGATGTCCTTTAAAGTCAGATGACGGTAAATTCAAGTTCTATTTCACTACATTTTCTGACCAGAGTATAAAGAACAAAAACAGGTTGTATCTATATACAACGTTACTAACTGGTATGCGAAACAAAAAACATTTAGCACTTTCTGATACGCTTTAGCACTTTCTGGTACGCATAAATGTTAAAAAATAAGATAGAACTTCGCTTAAGCAGTGTCTTTTTTTGTGTGCAGTACAGTTCTTTTTGCCAATATATTTTGAACTTAAAAATCAAATTTTCATACAAAAAATGTTCTTCATGAACACAATGATTTTGAAGACAAAACCTTTGGAACGAATGTATATATTAGATATGATATTAAAATACTTACGATTTAAAAATAAACTAAACTAGGAATTATGTTGAATTAAGGAAAGTCTTAAACATAAAACCATATGCCTTATTAAAGCACATGTATAAAAATGCCAAGATCATAACTCCAGAGAAATAGAAAAATTTGAAATAAAAAACGAGTTACTTTGTGTAATTGTATAGGGAAGTTACAAAAGATATGTGAAAAAGTCCTGTACAGGAGTGTGGGGTTATTTCAAAACTGACTATTGAAACAAGGGTACCGCGAAAGCGGAACATACTACGTCAGTCATACATTGAATGAGCAGTTGTCTGTATGGTTGTACATACATGTGCCAAAACTCCATAAATTACAGTTGGACAATGGTGGTTATCAAACTTGTCTGAGCTATCATGGCAATGAACCTTCCTATGAAGTTTGAAGTTAATGCATTGAAAACCTTTTTGAAACTGAATAAAGGGTCATCACTCCGAAAATTACAGTCCGATAATTACGGGTATCAAGCTTGTCTGATCTATTATAGTAATGAACCTATTTATGAAATTTGAAGTTAATCCGAAGAAAATACTCGAAATTTCGAGATGACACTGCTTCTGCAATTGAATAAAGTGCCATAACTCCTTAAATTATGATCCGATAATTAAATATAATTGCGTTTATCAAACTTGTCCAAGCTATCATGGCAATGAACCTTCCTATGAAGTTTGAAGTTAATGGCCGGTTAAAAAAATTTTTGCAATTCAATAAAAGGCCATAACCCCGATAATTACGGTTATCGAACTTGTCCAAGCTATCATAGTAATGAACCTTTCTATGAAGTTTGAAGTTAATCCACAGAAAACTACTTGGGATAGCGAGCAGACACTGTTTCTGCAATTGAATGAATAGTGATTATTACAACAAATGCGAGGTTGATTCAGCTCCAGTAAGATGGAATAAGGAGTTTCATTGCTTCATCAAATACGTAACTTTATCACCTAACGTAACATATTTGGAAAATGTTGGCAAAAGTAGAAGAAAATCAAGCAATAGGAAGTGTCATCATGTTTGAACTGTGATAAATTCATGTTATCTCTTTGTTATTAGATCATAACATCAAGAAAAGGTTACATGTAAATGAAATAATGTAACTTTGAACAAAATATCCCATACATTAGAAAACTACTGTATCAAAATATAGCACACATTTGAAAACTTTTGTATCAAAATCACTCGCACATTGGCACAATATTGTATCAAAATATCCCACACATTAAGAAACTCACATCAAAATATCCCATGTATTTTGAAACTCTTTTATAAAAATATCCTACAGATTGGAAAAATATAAAAAATATCTAATATATTGATAATGTTGAATCAAAATATCCAAAACATTAGGAAACTATTATAAATATCTTCTACACTGGTATAGGACATTAATTAATATTGCATCAAAATTAATACATGTATGTACATTGAAAAAATATGGATTTCTTTCATCTTCTGGTAATGATTTTCAAACACAATTATACAACATAAATAAAGATTCCTGGCGATGTGTATAATCAATTAGCAAGTAAACTGTACTAATTTAAGCAAGAAGTTATATATATAAACTCATTCTTAAACTTAATTTAGTTTCACAAGTATTCAATAATTTAAACAGACAATAGAAGTATGTACATTTGGTCCAACATGTTCAGATCAATTGATCAAAATCAACTTTTAAAGATATGGTTTTCTGCGATTAAAAAATCATGTTTGGCTCAAGTCTTACCTAATGCAAATACAATTTTATCAAAATTAGGAAATGAACACACTGGAAAATAAGTAGAGAAGTAAAATTATTTAAAAGAATGTTATAATCATAATTAGTATATAAGTATATACAATACAAAACCCTTAATTAAACCTAACAGCTCAAATGTTCAAATCTGTGAAAGGAGGAATATGTCTAGAACAGACAAAGTCTAGGTTTTTTTTTATTTGTATTTTGGAATTTCATGTTCTTACATCAACTAATCAATTGAAGGCAAAGAATGTCCGCATGATATGACCAGAATATGGAATGTAAGTGAACAATTAATTAGATTTATATCACTGTTACAGATACAGCATGCCTCCTACTCATATCACAATTGGTTATAACCTACACACATATTGAATGGCTCTCACTCGTATCCGGAGTACAGATGTAAGGCACTGGTATCCTTAAAACAGAAAACTATATAATACCCGGTATGTATCAAAATTCACCCACTCCTATCCCCGTTACAATTACATACTGTATACCGGGACATTTTCACTCTGTCAATCGTCAACCTTCAAATTTAATTACTACCATGGTATTCATATTATCTTGTTTACTAAGAGTCGGCTGTAATGATAAGTTCGCCCTTATCATGGCCGACAAAAAGGGAGAAAATTTAAAAATTTAACTGCCGCCAAAGTTTCTCAGTATGCAGTATAAACATAATTAGATGTCTTCTATTCATATCTCAATAACAGCTTCTATGATCAAATATAACCGCTATTTTTTGCAGATATAAAGGGTCATAAATGTGTAAGTATTTAATCACAAGGTTTTAATTCAATGAATCACGAATAGGGTAACAATAAAAGTCAATTACGTGTTGTGAATAGTTTTTAGATCGCACTTTTACGGGGGTTAGGATATGAAATATATCTCACAATTAAACTGATTTTTGCATTTCATACATGAATATTGGAAACAATGCAGATTTTAAATCAATGTTGTAATCCACTTAACAGCAATAAAATCCCTCGCAAACATCTGTGACTACAGAGTAGTATAAGTGATTTGTTTACAAATTACTGCGCTGACGCTGACTCTCATCTGTGACTATGAACGGTCCCATTGATGAGGGGGGTGTCTACAAAGTTGACCACACACGTGCCACTTGATACACAAGGACTCCCCTCTAATTCCACTAGCAGTATCTGGTTACCAGCAGAACCTCGCTGTAGGTAAGGCCCCGGAACAAACAGGCGTACCTGGGGACCCTCCAGGGGCCAGTACCGCCCCAAGTTGACCACCGCCTGGGACTTGATAAAAACTTGGCCCTGCAAAGAGTATAGCATATGTCAGCAAATGACATTATGATACAGTCAACCATATTTATACAAAGATGGGACCAGATAAAATCAGGTGTTAAAGTTATTAATAGATAATAACAACGAAACAAGATTATATGACATACACAGGTTTATATCACATATCTAGGACATTTACAGATTTACATGTCATATCTAGGACATTTTCAGGTTTATATGACATATCTATGACAGTTACAGGTTTATATGACATATCTACATGTATGACATTTTCAGGTTTATATCACATATCTAGGACATTTACAGGTTTACATGTCATATCTAGGACATGTACAGGTTTACATGTCATATCTAGGACATGTACAGGTTTACATGTCATATCTAGGACATGTACAGGTTTATATGCCACATCTATGACAGTTACAGGTTTATATGACATATCTACATCTATGACATTTACAGGTTTATATGACATATCTACATGTATGACATTTACAGGTTTATATGACATATCTACATGTATGACATTTACAGGTTTATATGACATATCTACATGTATGACATTTACAGGTTTATATGACATATCTACATGTATGACATTTACAGGTTTATATGACATATCTACATGTATGACATTTACAGGTTTATATGACATATCTACATGTATGACATTTACAGGTTTATATGACATATCTACATGTATGACATTTACAGGTTTATATGACATATCTACATGTATGACATTTACAGGTTTATATGACATATCTACATGTATGACATTTACAGGTTTATATGACATATCTACATGTATGACATTTACAGGTTTATATGACATATCTACATGTATGACATTTACAGGTTTATATCACATATCTAGGACATTTACAGGTTTACATGTCATATCTAGGACATTTACAGGTTTACATGTCATATCTAGGACATGTACAGGTTTACATGTCATATCTAGGACATGTACAGGTTTACATGTCATATCTAGGACATGTACAGGTTTATATGCCACATCTATGACAGTTACAGGTTTATATGCCACATCTATGACATTTATAGGTTTATGACATATCTATGACATATACAGGTTTGAATCAGCTAGTCTACACCAACCTTTTTCCAGCCTGTCATGTCCAAGTATGTATCCTGGAGGTCAGAGGTGATGGTCAGTTCACCCACGTACAGGGAGGGAGTACTGGGGTCAAAGGTCACATTTGGTTGAAGCAATCTGTAAAACAAATGCATAAAGGTTTTTGGATTCTTATTGATATGAATATTCTCAAAATTCATTCAATTTTATAAATATCACATAACATTTATATTATTTTTAAACATAAACTGTATCCTCATGTCAACAGTAAATACATCTAATGGCATTTCAGCAATAAGTTTTGGGCAGATCTTTCTATAATATATGACCTATTTTTTAAAAAAAAATTAATGTTAAAATTCAGGTGTTAGTCTAGAAAAGGAGAATGTTTACTTACTTGTTTGATCTGTGATCATTTTGAGCCAAACTGAAGTAGTTGTCCAGCTGTAGAGGGTACATCGTCCAGCCCTGCAACACCTGACCGCCGAGTGTGACGTTCTGTATGATACCCTGTCAGAAAATTTAGTGATTTAATGGTTATACTCTCATAGAACAGTGAAGTTAGTGCTTCATGTTGTTATGTTGATTGACAGGTTCCTCAGTTAATAACTGATTTGATGAATTGTTACAAAAGTTGAACTTGCATCGACTAGTTATAAATTGAGGTGATTGTCAGCACACTTTAACGACCCCAGTGTGTCCAGCTGAAGTAACCGTTCCCCTATGGATAGTACAGCAAAGGTCATCATGTTTTCATCCAATACAACTGACAAGTACCTAACAACTGTGGTGGTACATAATATGGCTACAACTGTGGTGGTATATAATATGGCTACAACTGTGGTGGTACATATTATGGCTACAACTGTGGTGGTACATAATATGGCTACAACTGTGGTGGTATATAATATGGCTACAACTGTGGTGGTACATAATATGGCTACAACTGTGGTGGTACATAATATGGCTACAACTGTGGTGGTATATAATATGGCTAGGCAGTGTAGGAAAAGTAGTTTGATGAAGTCAGCTTTACTTACATTTTTATTCAATTGGCTCTACTTCAAAATATATATATTATGTTTTACATATTTATGTATGTATCCCGATTTCAAATCGTCATTGTTGTAATCTTAGACCATAATAGTGTTAACATTAGGTTGGTTGGCTTTCAAACTCACATCATGATGGTCACTGAAATGTACTGACCATTTGAATCACTACAATGATATATAAATTTTCTTTCATTTTTTATTTTGTAGCAATTAAAGAACTTATTCACAAACATATCAATTAAATTTAGCTGTTAACTGATGGTGTTAGTTAAATGTCAGTTATAGAAATCAAAGGAATTTGTCATTAGTTCATGTGACTCTTCTTACTGACATTCTACTTACCTTTAAATTGTCATTAATTCCCCGGTTAAACGTGATGTGGCCCTGGTTTTCTACCAGAATATCCAGATTCTGGCCCTTCATACCAGTGACAGACAGGGATGTCCTCGTGTCTCGCACCAACACGCCAACAGACACCTATAATTAATTGAGTGTATAGAATAGTGAAGGTTGAGCTTTTTCAATAACCTGCTATAAAAGTTATTTTTATAGCAACAGTATAATATTAGCAACAAATTATTTGTCATGAAATGTAACAGTAGACACCTGACAAGAACAGTATATTGATGATTTAGACACCAAATTTAATACTGGTACACTGAAATTAGTTCACTTAGGATAAAACAATATATCAAGTGAGGCATTCAAAAGTTATACAAACTATTCTTGTCTTAAAGATTTCATTCAAAAGTTAGACCCATTCAAGCTGTGTATTGCTTTAAACAGTATGCTCTGAAAATAATACAACAGCAGATGCTTTCTTAGGTAGTTTTACAGTTACCAACGTTAACCAAATTGTTTCATAAATTTTTGCAATCAGTTGGTAAAGATGTTGTGTGGATTGATACAGTTGCACAGAAATTGTATCTTTTCGGTTTTACAGTAATTAATAACTAAATGCATGTACTAAGGTATCACAGTAAAAGTAACTTCTCATGTGTTTGATATCAGTTTTGACTGATAAAGTACAGGGGTACCTTGTTGACCATGACGTAGGCACGGTCCCTCAATCCAGGGACGTTCAGCACAGTGTTTTTCTGTAGGTCACTGGTCAGGGTATGTCTGTACAGGGTAAACCCTTGGAACTGAAACAGAGATCGCCAATTAGCTGACACTAGTCATTATCCACTGTGCTCAGAGATAAACAATCCTGCATATGAGTCCATCTCAAACCTAACTGTTAACAACATTAATATTTTGTCTATGCATCCTGTTACATTTTCTCATAACAATAACTATTCCAAGACTAAAACATTATGTTTGTAATTTTATTTTTGTTTACAATAAAAGATGCATATCTAGACAGAAAGAATTCTCAAAAGTCATAGAAGTTTTCCATGACAAGGAAGGAGTCTGTACAGGGTCTGTACTACACATTCCACCAACCTGACCAATGGATTCCATGGAAACAGGATACAGGGATTTGATTGGTGGGCCATGAGTCAGGTGATCAAGCAGGTCCAGGACTGATCCAACCTATAACATATACCCACATGGATACTGGAAATCGGTTCAAACCCACATAACTCTGAGGTTCACTTTGTGATGATCATTACATCTGTTGATAGTGTAAACATGTCTATTGTGGTGGTTGTCAGCACTATTTCTGGATGTTAGACAGCTCAGCTGTAGCACTGGATCATGTTGCTATAAAATATAGATCCTGCAATAAGCCCAGGGGGCCAACACATTAATTCTACTCACTGTAGCGGTTGTGCTCAATGCAGGACAATGAAATAGCATTTGATAGCATTTCTCCTGACATGGGTGGACTTATTACCAGGTACACTAAGCTATAAATATTGTCAGACAAATATGGGTAACTTGAACATTTTCACCGAGATACAAAAACACAAGCAGACTAAGTATTTAACATTATTATACTGTTTGCTTTTCACCATAATGAAACAGTATGAGCTTCAAAATTTTCTGTACAATTTAACAACCTATCTATTTATAGTATACTAAATCTTGAGGTGAATATAATCCAGACACGTTACGAATCAGTACTCACGAAACGCATCTTGACTGGTCCATAGTTAGCCTTGGGTGTAGACGGGGGCCAAGGAATGGGTGGCATCGGCTTGTACTGTAACACACAAACATCTCCAATAACTTAAAGTTCATTGGGCTGGCACAGAGAACATTTCTTTATATTCAATGACAAGAGATCCCAGAGGGATCTTGGCGCCCACCTTTGTACCATCTTCATTAGTTCTTTGTTAGTTCAATCTTTTCTCTTCTTTCCTCTAATCTGTTTGATCGAGTCATGTTAACAGTAAATGCACCTTGAGGTAACTTTTGATCTAAACTTAATACTGATTATGAAAGCCAACCTTCAAAGTGAGTTTGTCATTTCACATATTTACTAGTACAGTACTTAATGTGAAAGAAATAGAATCGATCATTGCAATATGAGAAAGATCTGTTTAGTTCTTC